ATTGGAGTTTTCGAAATTTGGGAAAAATCTAGAAAGAGCTAAAAGATTTTCAGAAAAAACAAAAAAAAGCTAGCTGCTAAATTGGAATTTTTCTAGCTAAACGGCGAAAAAAGCCAAATCTAGCTGGAAAGTACTAAAATGCAACACTGATTATGACCTTAAGCGAAAGCAAAGCTTCTCTCAAGTTTGTAATACGAGTAGTTACAGTTTTTAAATTTTTGCAAATTTCTGTTTTAGTTATTCAAAATACGTTTCATAAAATGGACCCAAATTAACTCTTTATTTTTCAATATAAAAACATAATGTATTTTAATATGAAAACATATTAACTATATCCATTAACCAAAAAATATCACCTAAAGGCTTTTCTTCCACCAACATTGTTCTTAAGTTTGCATGTGCTGGCTGATAACATAAATTTTGTTTACAAAAAATGCATTTGAAGAGCAGGTAAATTTAAAAGAAACTTGATAAAACGGCCCTAAGGAAATCCGTCATTTATCCTTATAATTTATATGTTTTAATTAATTTAAAAGATAAAAAAAACCGAACTTAATTAAAGTTTTTGAATTATTTTTAAAAGGCATACAATTACTGTTTCTATTCGAATTTATATTAGTGCATTTTATATCAAAATTGCTCATCTCTGGCGTCTAAATTGTGTCGGAAATTACCTCAGATATTGATCTAATTGATCGTTCAAAATCAATCAACTTTGATTGTGTCGTGAAGAGTTTCTCTCATCTTAATATATAAAAATTCCACGTCACTGTGTGTCGTTTACGCTAATCTCCGAAACCACTTAACCGATTGCAATAAAATTTCGTGGGTGTGTTTTGTTGGTTTCAACACGAGAACGACATTTGTTCAATGCTCCTTGCAACGTGCTTATCTTAATATATAAAAATCCTGTTCATTTACGCTAATCTCCGAAACTTCTGAACCGATGGGAGATGTACAAGACCTGAAGTACAAAATATTGCAAAGAAGTACATTTCACTGTACTGCGAATTGCGAAGTAAAAGAGGTAAAAAACCAGTACTCTACTTCCGAAAGGTTCCGTACGGTTGGTCACACTGCTCATAATGAACGTGCTGGTGTATGGGGCAGAAGCGTTTGATGAGGCGGCTGTAGCTAAACTGCTATAGAAAGGAGATTGTTGTGTTAATAACCACGGATCACTGGGTCGTTAGTGAACGTGCCGCAAGGATGAGCCTCCCGTACAACCATCGGTACCGTAGCTGTAGCCTCGAATAAAAGACATGATATATTAAGCAAATTCTACATGCAATATCTAAAGAGAATCTAAATGCTCCATTACTAGCATATACACCCTGCAGGGAAACCGCGGACTGGTGAATCAAATTTCTGGTTCCGTACTAGGTCTTTATCCCCTCCAGTCCAAAATCGGGGAAAAGTGGTACTTTTAAAAAACTAATTTTTTTCAGTTTTTTCACTAGAAATCTATATCTAAAGTGACGAATTTAGAAATGGTTGGGAACTATAGAAAAGGGGATACAGAACGAACTAGATCTTATTTGTCGAATTTAGAACTAGTTCGGAACTATCGAATAAGGGATGTAAGGGGGCTTGTTTACTTTACATAGATATGTGTTCGGCGGCTTTTTCGTTCAAATACGCTTCTATTCTGTGCTTCGCAGATGCTTTTTCATAGCTTGGTAATACAAAACTAAAATTTGTGTTAACATTTCAACATCTTGGGACCGTCTGGAATATAAGAAATAACAGCGAGCACCTCTGCAAACTCAGCTACAACTAAAGGAATGTAAACGTACATTTCTTCATTCAAACGAATTTAATTTCAAATTGAAAACACATTTCTTCCAAAATAACTTAAAATCGTGCCACGGATGAACCAAAAAGATTGAAAAATCATGATACTTTTTTCTTTCGTCTGTCGATTTTCGAACTGGTTCGGAACTATCGAAAAAGGGATGCAGCGGGGGGCAATTGACACTTCCTAGGACATCGCCATGTTAAATTCGCCAGTTGCTTGCATGCAAAAGAGATTTATCGCGAACCAGTACTGGGTCTAAATGTACTAGAAGCGCACCAGTTCAGAACTAGAGATTTTCCCCACAGGGCAGATTCATCGACAAGTCGAAGTGATGTTAAGACACCAACGAATCATGACAGCAGACAACATCAGAGGTTCCAGAGATAGCAAATCGAAATGGTGCTTACGGCGACAATTTGTAGTTTTGCGCAGTCTTCCTGTTGATCCACGATCAGTGGAAGTGTTTAAATAGGGCAAATATGACCATAATTCAAATTATTCTTACTCACATCCTTATACATGTGTATGTATAAGTACACTGTCATTTTGTAAGTATGTATGTAAGTATGGGTAATATGTATAAGCACATAACTACATACTACATAGCTGAAGCCACAGAGTTTAGTATCACCAGCAGTTTTGTGTATTTCTCAAATAGTTAACTTTGCTTTTGCTAAAAAATATGAGT